CGCAGATCGCAAGAGGCTCGTCACGCGGAAGTAGCGGTCGAGACCGCCGAAGAACAAGAACTCCTCCCCGCGCTTCGCGCCCGCGCAGAACGACGTCGCGTCCAACTCGTCGGACTCGGTCCAGAGCGGCGCGTCGCAGACGACCCCGGTCTTCGGCGCGACGCTCAGCACGCACGGCAGCCGCTTGTTCCTCGCCAACTCGCCGCCGTAGAACAGCGCGGTGCCGTCGCCTACCGGAACGATGGCGGAGGCGACCACGCCAAGGCGCTCGGTCGCGGCGTCCCTGGCCTCTGCGCCGCCTCCGGCAGGGATTGAAAGGTGTACGATCTCGGACCGCACCCGACTGCCGAAAACCGGCGCGACATGCGCCCAGCCCGTCACGAGCAGCGCGTCGCGGTTGCCCTTGGACGCGCGGGCGAGACGGCTCGCGTCTTTACGATCCATGAACCCGGCGCACGTGTCGAGATGCTTGACGAACTCGGGCAGCGGCGAAGATTCCGGTCGCGCGGGGCGGCGGCCTTGATGCCGCGTGCGGGATTTGGCCGTGCCCGCAGCCTGCCGGCGCCGCGACATCTGCCGCAGGCGCTGCGACGCTCCAGCAGGCCGTGCGAGGCCGCAAAGTCTTCGTTTCGAGCAGTTGGAACGGCTGCGCGCTCCTATGGGGTGCTAGCGCTGCTGACGGGACCGGTTTTACAGCGGGTGTCGCCGTCTAATACGTCGATAAGGTGGCCGCCATGCCCTAATCCGGCGTGTTGAGGTGCAAGGTTTGGGTGTGCGCCCATCTCGACACCGTCGCTCGCAACTCGCATCAAATATGGCCGACGACGAACCCATGGAGGAGGCCCCGGCCGCCGAGGTCGAGGTCCAGGAGATGTCCGTCCTCGACGCGCTCAAGGACGTGCTCAAGCGCGCGCTCATCCACGGCGGCCTCAAGCGGGGCCTCCGCGAGGTCGCCAAGGCGCTCGACAGCCGCACGGCGAAGCTCTGCTGCCTCGCCAAGGACTGCGACAACGCCGAGTACTCGCGCCTCGTGCGCGCGCTCTGCGACGAGGGCGGCGTCAACCTCATCATGGTCGACGAGGGCCGCCAGCTCGGCGAGTGGGCCGGGCTCTGCAAGATCGACGCCGACGGCGAGGCGACCAAGGTCGTGCGCTGCAGCGCCGCCTGCGTCACCGAGTTCGGCGAGGACACGCACGCCCTCTCGGTCCTCCTCAACTACCTCAAGTCGCAGGCCCCCGAGGAGTCCTAAGCGCCGAACGGCGAGACCCTCGCCGGCCCGCCGCCGCCGGCGCGCGGGCGCCCCGCGCTCCACCGAGCGCGGGACGCCCGCCCGCCGGCGGCGGCCGGACCCGGCGAGG